TATATATGTCCAAACCAAGTTCACATTTAACGGTTTGATATAAAAATTTGGGCATTGGTTATATGTGATATTCATTATATAATAAAGGTTGTTTTTGTATTTCCTAATGAATGAGAAATAAACAAACCAATATTGTCGTTTTGTTTACTGATGTTTCGCTATTCATTAATGCTGCTGCTAATAGCTTTATCAAAGTAGTAATATTAAACAAGAATTTACAAAATCCACTCAGCTTATATATAACAAAGAGTTAAGAGGTAAGAAAATAGAATGTGATGCGATATACATCGGACAAACAACGCCAGAGAGGAATCAAAATCAGAAGAAATGAACAACGTAGAGCCACATCTGTTCGACCACCACCGAGAAATCCAATTAGTGAACTAGAAAAGCTTGAAAAATCACCAGCCAGCCATAGGTCTGTCTACACGCTATAGAATCAGGCCACAAATTTGACTTTGACAATATTGAAATCATCATCCAGAAAAATTTCAGAAATCAAAAAGACTGTCAAGTATCACGAGCACTACAACATATCAAATGGAGTCCAAATTGTCTGAAATCAATAAGAACGATGGACTAAAACAGAATTTGACCTGGTTACAGCACACTTGCCTCTCCCATGAAATGACAAAGTCGACATGAATATGATGAGCAAGTTCACTATGTAAACACACACTGCTTTTATAATTTTTGACACACTGGTCAAATCCGACAATCTACACTTGGTTTTATTATCTCTACCAATTGGCCAATTTGACAACGCAAAAATGACCCCAGACTGACGAATGATGATCAAGTTAGTAAACTTTGTTTTGATACCATAACAGATGTGTTATTATAATGACTCATGATTGGACAAAGTTTTTAAAAACAAGTGATGTTCCTTTTATATATAAACCTCTGTTGTTATGTTAATTTCGATTAATTTCCCTGAAGAATTTCGGACCAGATTGCCGAACGAAACGTTGGAATTACTCATTTCAGTCTCGCTGAGATTTTACAGATATAATTTTTTACAAATGTCTGCTTCTCATTCGGCACCCAAATATTTTAGAACTATTCTATCAAATCTTGACGACAGTTCATTTGAAAGATGTACTATTACCTTTATTATTTGGTTTAGTGATCTTCATTGGTATTTTAACTTTCAATGTGTCCTTTTAACTTGACCTAACTTGTCTATTTTCTCACCCCTTAACTCTTTGTTATATATGTATGCTGAGATTTTGTAAATTCCGATTTAATAATACTTTGATAAAGTTATTAGCATTAAATAGCGAAACGTTTTGTTTTTTATATAATGACTAACTTATTTTTATTCTTCTCGGACAAACCTAATGTACACACAAGTACAAAATAAGTATATATATATATATATATATATATAATTGCGACTGTACAGCTAAGTCAAATGATTGGTTACAGGATTTCATCATGAGCTGACGTTAGTTAGAGAACCATTGGAATACCTGGGAGTACTGGACAGCTGTTTCGTCCTAGTTTGGGACTCTTCATGATGAAATCCTGTAACCAATCAACCAAATCCCTACAAACCAACACTTGAATATCAATGAGATGCTCACTAGTGACTTGCCTCATTCAGGTAGGTATTTACCTGGGATTCTAGTGAGAAGTCGTGACCAGTAGGGTGCAGCAGGTCGAGTGTGAGGACAAATACTCCCCGAAGACATTGGCTAGCGGTCGCGCTATGTCGTGAATTGACAGAAGTTAGAATTCATGGGCTGGCCATTGGATCGAGTCTCAGTGGCTTAATAGTATACGAGCTCGCTAATCTTGTAACCAGAAGGTCCTGGGTTCGAATCCCGGTGGGTGCGTACTGATGAAGAGTCCCAAATTAGGCAGATGAAACAGCTGTCCAGTACTCCCAGGTTTTCCAATGGTTCTCCAACTAATGTCAGCTCATGATGAAATCCTGTAACCAATCAAATCCCTACAAACCAACACCTAAATATGAATAAGTTAAATGAATTTGCTGAAAAGAAACTCTTCGCTAAACTACGCGTTTTGTTTTCATTAATGCCTTGATGGAGATTATTCACGAATTATAAGTTTGGCGCTTAACACTTTCTCTATCACATAGAATGTGGGCCAAATAGGCTGTCGTTGAGTTTTTTTGTACTTAGTTGTGCGAGCGAGCATGTAATCTCTTATAAAATGGCTTTTAGTCGTACCAGACTAGATTCAATCGAAACGATATGAATAGAAAAAGGGTTCTGAGAGTCACACAATGTGTTGATTTAACCCAATTTCTTGTATGAGTTCAGATATCTGTCGACCAGACTAGTAAAGAGCTGACTTAGTGACACACCACTTGCCCTACTGACAACCTTTAATACACTACGAAATATGATATAATCCTTTTCGATTAACCCAGAATAGGCTGAAGGGGGCGGGGTCAATAAACGACACTAGGTAGTAAGATGCAACAGTTAACAAATTGTAATAGTGTAGAGGTTCAATGATTCGTGACTGTCTTTTAGGTTAGACGGAACAAGAGATGGAATGACCAAGAAAAGTTGTGGGATAGAAGTATTCTAAGGTGTTTTTAATGCTTGACTTCGTTTCTATTTCAGTGCTCTCTATGCTACAAGCATCTAGTAAATGAAGAACCACTTCGTGAAGATCACGTTTATGCTTGACGGTGAAGTGAACTGCCTGAGATGATTAAAAGTCCGGTCCCAGTACTCAGCAGCATGATGAAAAGTGAATCCGGCTACTTTTGATTAGTAACTAAAAGTAATTTTAAGAAAAAAACCCAGCCGACACATTTACTCAACTGTTGGTTTGTAGGGATTTGATTGGTTTCAGGATTTTCATCATGAGCTGACATTAGTTAGATAACCAGTGGTAAAGGAGTGACTCGGCCGGGGATCGAACCCCGGACCATGTGCATGGTCGGCGAGCGTCCTAACCACTATGCCACCGACACTAGACGTCTTTCTGCTCTAACGTACAATCATGAGTGGTCGCGGCAAATGTGGAAAGTCTCGAGCGAAGGCAAAGACTCGATCTGCTCGTGCTGGTCTTCAGTTCCCAGTTGGTCGTGTACATCGTCTTCTACGCAAGGGAAACTACGCGGAACGTGTCGGTGCTGGAGCACCCGCCTACCTGGCGGCTGTCCTCGAGTATCTGGCCGCCGAAGTACTCGAATTGGCTGGCAATGCCGCGCGCGACAACGAGAAGACCCGTATCATCCCTCGTCACTTGCAATTGGCCATTCGCAACGATGAGGAGTTGAACAAGTTACTCGGTGGTGTTACCATCACCCAGGGTCACCTATGAAGGCATTTACTTATGAAGAACACTGAGTAATGGTCATCCTATATTTCCTAATTTAAAAGAAGAATTAGAAATGTAATTCTACACTACTGAATTTCAAAGTGTGATTGTCTTTGACACAATCTTCCTTACCTCAATGAGTTCTTGTCTAGGAGAGCAAAATTTTACACTGCCTCTATGCATAAGTGAAGCTACTCTGAAAACAATCGAAGAAATCATTTCATCTCTACTTTTTCTATGCCTCGAAATCTCTGTAATGATTAGACTGAGATGTTCTGGAGTAGGGTTACCAACCACCGCGACTAACTTTTCCTCTTCTTTTTTCTGAACTTAGCATGTGCTATTAAACTAGGCGATGAGAAATAAATGCAATTGTGGAGCTAGCCAAAACATACTGGGAAGAATAGATGAAAATGTGCTGCGCTGACACCGTTTGTCCCACTCAGGACCCAAGGAAATAATAGTAATAATAATTTCATCCGATTGATAAATACAAACAGTACTGTCCACTAACAAACTGAACATGCTAGCAAGAATATCATTACTAGACACCTTAGTTGTATGATGGCGTAATAAGACAATTGAATAACTTTTATACGGGAGCCAAATGTAATTGTCGATTTATTTTACTTGAAGGTTCTTAAAACTTTGATATCTGAGAGATGATTCATCTAATCCTTATATGTAGATCAATATCTGTTGATTGAATTAGTAAGGTGAGTAAATCATCGACACAACAGTGTACTGTATACTGTATTATCCACTAATTAGGTACTAACTGTTAGTTTTTCTGGTTAGATCATGGATTGATATCATTTAAAGAACCATTGGGAACCAGCACTGGAGTACTGCAGACAGCTGTTTCATCCTAGTCTGGGACTCATCGGCAGTATGCACCTACTGGGTCTCGAACCCAGGACCTTCCGGTTAGAAGGATACGAAACGCAGGTGATGGCTGCTTACTGCCGATGAGTCCCAAACTAAACTCCTTTCTGTTTAAATTATAATAATAAATGGGTCAGTGGTTAAGTGGTACAATATTCACCAGAAAGGTCTAGTGTGGTCCCGGGCTTGATCTCCAGTCGGTGTACACCTTAACCTCATTAAACCAGTGGTGAACCCCGATGACAGGGAAGGTTGACAGTGAGGTTAACATCACCATCTCGTAATAGATTAAACACCATTGCTACTGGCAATTCAAAGCTCATGCTCGATTATAACGACAAATGCATCCTGTATAACTGCACAGGTTAGAGTCTTATGACTACGTTTCAAAGCCAAAAAAAGAAATACTTTGCAAATAGAAAGACACTTCATGAATTTACACCTGCCGACTTTACTATGAATCTCCTGAAGTACTGGACAGCTGTTCCCTGCTAGTTTGAGACTCCTCACAGTAAGTATTACGCACCCATGCCCCCAACCACGAGTGGCTGAATGATCAGCTGACGTGTTCTTGTAATCTGAAGCTCCTCAGTTTAATCCCTTGTAAGGTAATAGATATACACTGCGCTAAAGATTTCTAAACTGGCACGAAACAACTGTCCACTAGTACTGGTTGATTTTCTCTCCATCTGCCTCTCTGACCTAAGTTACATCATGATCAAACTTGATAGATAATTCACTGTATTTAATCGATTAATCAAATATATATATATATATATTACCAGTAAAATCCAATATCTATGTACACTTACCACTTCTTCATTTCACTTGCCACTTAACGTATACAAGAGTGAAATATAAATTCTCTCGAAAACTGAATAGAAAGTGTCTATTTCTCTCCAATTTATGTTGTCTTAAAACACACAATGCCTCTGATGCAATCGGATAATTTATTCATATGCTTTATATATATATATATATATATATATATATATATATATATATACGAAACATGTCAGCTGGATAACTATTCGTCTATTCATCACACATCGAATAAATCTTACTTAGGTCTATTGTCATTGCTACTATCTTCATTCTGATTGGTCAATTTTCATCATCTTATTTTTCGTCATTATAGATGTCCAAGCCAAGTTCACAATTAACATTGATATAAGAATAAAACTTGGGCACTGTGGTAGAGTGTAATTCCATTATGGGTAAATTTTATTTTGATAAAGTCTCACAGTGTTATACAGTAATATTTACTGATGACGTTTCGAGCACAAACTATTGCCACTCATAATCATATCAAGGTAATCACACGACTTCCTAAATTCATTTATATAGTTCCATTGTTTTTCACTTGATTTGATTGGTAGTATTACTTTCCATATTTCGGGTATGAGTGATGATTCATTCCTATTGCATGTGTTGGGTGTAGATTCGATGAACAAAGATTCAGTAATCAACCTCTCTCTCCACCTACCTAGATTACTTTTTAGAATTTTAACCCTCTCCCACCAGCCTATTGTGTGGTTGTGTGTTAATGCATGCATTGCAGTTGCCGAGCTTTTTTCTAGATTACTTATCTTCTCTGGGTCAACCATTCTTACCTTAGCCACTAAATTCTTATGTTCTGACAATCTGACTACCCCTGACCTACTAGTTTGACCTATGTAGTTGACCTCCCTCACAGTCATTGCAGGGTATTTGTAAATTATATTATTTTGTCTAATTGAGTCAACTGCAAGGACCTTTAGCCTACAGAGCTTGTCCCTGAGTGAGTTTGTAGGTTTAAATGCCACCCTAATTCCTGCTTTATTTAGAATCCTACGTAGGGTCTCAGATGTACCCTCTTTATATGGTATAGCTGTAGATGACTTATATTCTCTCTTATTTACGTTATTATTTCTAGTTTCACAATTCTTTTTATTTTTCTTTTGGCGTTTTTTCAATCTTCCTAATGAATTTTAGAGGTTAGTTATTTAACACCAACGCCTCTTCTATCTGTTTTATCTCATCGTTTAGGTCTTTTTTTGTGCTACTTAGTGCCATTGCTCGGTTTGTTAAACACTTAACTAAGCCTGCCTTAACAGTTAAAGGATGAGATGAATTAAAGTCTAAATATCTATTAGAATGCGTTGGTTTTCTATAAACACTAGTGTGTAGTTTGCCTTCTTCTATTCGTTTTATTTTACAATCTAACATAGCTAATTCTCCTTGCTCATTTTCGGTTTCAAATGTGAATTTTATTCCCTGCACTAGTGAGTTTATGCTTGTCAAGAAGCTAGAGATATGTTCTGTTTTTTAACACAGTGTTAATGACTTGGGTTTCCACTGTCGAATTACGGATGATACATTTCTGGTCATTAAAAACGAGAATGATGCAATGAACATCCTTGACAAGTTTAATGATGCCCATTCAGCAATAAACTTCACCACCATAGAGAAAGAAAGTAATGACAGTATCTCATTCCTAGACGTCTTCATGGGAAGGAAAGTAGATGGCAGACTAAGAAAGAGCGTGTATAGGAAACTTACAACAACAGGTCAGTACACTCATTTTTTGAGTTTTGTACTTTTGAAATATAAACGTAACCTGGTAAAGCGTCTGGTTAATAGAGCTAAGATAATCTGTTCAGACGACTGCCTCAATGAGGAGCTTAAGATTATTAGATGATTACTTAGAAAAACTAGTTATCGAGATAATTTCATTGAGAAAAATATGAATTCGGCACCAAGGAGAGTCAGTATGGCAACAGTTCCGAAAAAACCACTGTCCATAAAACTGCAGTTCCTCGGTGGCATTAGCGAAATAATAACACAGCGCCTGAAGAATGCAGTTAAAAGAGATTATTATGCAGCAGAGGTACGTTGTCTCTTCACAACCACCCCTATTCTACGTTCGAGAAATAAGGATAAATTACCTAAATTTGCCTCCTTTATGTGTATCTACCAGTTTGACTGAAGCTGCGAAGCCAGCTGCATCGGGCGTACAATTAGGCAGGTTCATCATCGTATTTCCGAACATTATCCAGCATGGCTAAGCAAGGGACAAACAAGATCTATTCATAGCTCTATTTTAGAACACCTTGTAGATAGTGAGCATAAGGTTGATGTTAATATAGCATTTAAAATTATCTATCGCATTCCTACTAATCTTAATTTTGCTTTACGAGTTCGTCTTCTACAGACAGCTGAAGCAATAGGAATCCACTTGAAGAAGCCAAACCTGTGTGTGTGTTCAGAAGAAATTTGTACAGCCCTCTTTCCTTACCTTGACCATCGTTACATGATCATATAAACCGGACTACTTCACCCCCCTCCCCTAAATCTATAAAAATTATATTTATCCAAATTATTTTATTTTTTTTCTGACGTGTCATCCTTGTGAAATTATTTTATTCTTGTGACCACTTCAACCTTAGTTACAAATTATCATTCTCCAAATCGTTTCATATTCTTTAACAATCTGTTACGCAATCAACCTGTGCACACGCTTACCCCCCCCCCAGTTACTCTTCATTTTTCCAAAATGAGGCATTATGCAATCCACCTGTTGTAACCATTTCTACCTTTTTAATGGTATATATTAATTTTCTTCGTTAATTATCACCCAACTGATATTTTGACACTGACTAATTATTGTTAACAAACATATCAGTGAAATAATTAGTCCTTTTGATAAATTTGAATAAGGTATTTAGAAGACAAATTTCGCGAGATGATACCGTCATTTCGTAGTTTCTTTACAACCGCTTTACAACTAACATGGTTAACAATAATAATAAAATGAAGGGCATGACAATTACTCAGTTAAATAAAAACAAAAGTACATACTAATGACCAATCATATTTAGATAGGTCAAGTAGTCCATGGTAGGCGAAGATTGAAGTCTATTGATTTTTGTACACACAGTTTAGGCTGTATGTGATTAATCCAAAGTGCTTCCATCACCTTCAATAACCTTGAATTAGAGTTATGTGAAATAATTGTAAAACAGTCATTAATATTTATTTTGTGACCTGACATTAGTAAGTGTTTTGCAATGGATGATGATGGATTTCTATTCAGATTAATCGCATTGGGATTTACTATATGATTTAGTAACCATTTTGGGACATGTTCTTTTCGACGACCACATTGGAACATTCTGTTGGTTCTACCTACCGCAGTTGCAGGTGAACTTGTAGATACAGTTTGAAGTAGAGTCCACAGAATTTCGTCCTTTAATCGTAGGTACAGGGATCGAAAATGTTCGTCAAGTGAGAAAAAGAGATGCGGTGGCGTAGAATGTGCGTTTGATGGCTGACCGAAGTCACTGAGCTAGCTGTCAACTGCATAATCTGGTCACCCTTGAATGGTAGGTTAATAAAGATAGATAGCTTTCTTTGGTACAGAAGCAGTCTTTTCGAGATGTGGTCTTTCTTTACTGTGACAAGCGATAAAGTTTTCCTGATACCCATTAGCTAATAAAACTGAATGTATATCTCGAAACTCATCCATCACTGTGTCACTCGTGCATATTTTTCGGGCCCTTGAGAACAAACATTTCACTAGGGAACGTTTAAACTGGATAGGAACAAAACTGGTAAAATGAAGATATTGTCCACTCCATGTCTGTTTACGAAAAATAGATCTCTGAATCGTACCATCATCTCTCCTGGTCATTGTAATATCGAGGAAACCGAGTTTGTTACTCGATTCGCGTTCGGAAGTCACTCGGATATTTGGATGAATATGATTAAATAGAGTAATAAAGTTTTCAATAGATTTACTATTATTAGCAATAATGAGAGTATCATCTACATAACGTTTATACAGCATAAATTCTCCAAGCATACCTTGCATTTGTCTTTCCAATTTCGACATGAAAATATCTGCTGACAGGGGCCCAAGAGGGCTACCCATCGCAACACCATCGATTTGTTTGTATGCATTTTCTTGAAAGGTGAATCTTATATTTTCTGTACACATTAAGATGATGTCTCTGATGTAATTTACAGGAATAGGCAAGTTTATTTCATTGCTTGTGATGTAATCGCAAAGGAAATCAACAGTTTCATTGAGGGGAACATTGGTGAATAAAGATTCTATGTCAGTTGAACACATAACCTTATCCTTGATGTTCTAGTTGTCTAGCATATCTGTCAGGTCAAATGAACTTTTTAAAGAATTATTTGATAATGAGTCTCTTACAGGCGTAAGGACTTCTGTAATCCATTTTGCGATTTTGTGGTATGGAGAACTCGACATGTTGTTGTGTATTGTAATAAAAATGCTCTCTCTCTCTCTCTCTCTCTATATATATATATATATATATATATTAGAGTAGAGCCAGAGTGAGATGAGGATCTAATTGATAAAAGTAAATATTTCTTCGCTCAATCTTTCTGTTTTCTAAATATCTAAATGGGAATTTTTTTCTATATTGAAAAACAATATCATCGTTTGGTTTTTCATTCATTGGGCAATACAAAAAATACTTTGTTATGATGAATCTTATTTATCAGTCTATAAATCTCTACCACAAATTATAATTTATAGTGAAGAGCGCCAGTTACTTATGACTAGATAAAAAGCAAATATATCTATATATAAGATACATCTGATAATATTTCCAACTTTTGCTTCCATGAGACTAATTTCCAACACATTTGAAATGTAATCATGATAAGTGCGCTGATTAATATGAATGAAGAATAAAAAACCAACAATAGAATTGAAATTCAAGTGTTGGTTTGTAGGGATTTGATTGATTTCAGGATTTTCATCATGAGCTGACATTAGTTAGAGAAGCACTGGAAAACTTGGGAGTACTGGACAGCTGTTTCTGTGGTCCTAGTTTGGGACTCTTCATCAGTACGCACCCACCGGGATGAATGAATTTTCGTTGATTTCAGCTCCAAAAATTCAAAACTTCATTTGATTTGATTTATTTTTTTATTTTCAAACA